CAGGTAACAGATGTCACTTTTACTATTTTTGCTGTTAACACTTTGAAATTAAAGAAAAGATGACTACAGGGAAATAATTCATACATAAAAGAAAACTGCAAAGAAAAAAGGAATAAGTTTTTCTCTACATTTACTGGGGATAGTAACAGGTGTAAATTGCCACAAGGAAGATCTAAATTCAGTATTAGGAAAGAACCCTCATGACAAGAACAGTTAAGCACTATTAACAACAGTTAAGTTGCCTAGTGAGATTGCGTAATTTCTATTATCTGAGGCTTTTATAGGTTTCAAAAGCCTCCTTTAAATCAGTTCTGACAAACTTCACCAAGCAAGCCTATTTTATTCAAAGAGATGGCAGCCAGCTACCCAGTTTCCTGCTTGTATTAGTTTTCTGCTGGTTTAGTGAACTGAATCAGCAAACACCTGACAAGCATCAGAGATGGCACAAAGGAAGTAGTAATAATACATGCCCAATGTCAGGACTTTAACCCTCAGCAACAATGAGTTATGTCAGCTCACCACATCTCATAAGACTGTATCTTAAAAAACAGATTAAGCAAACAGATTAGACAAACATCTGCTAATAAATCTGTAAGTACAATTTATCCTTCCTGGGGCTGAGAGGAGTAGACCAGAATTCTTGAGGTCATTTCCAGCACCACTTTATTTAAGCTTTAAAAAAGCAACAGAGCACCCATTTTGAACCCATTTAGTGAAACTTTTAACAAAATATTAATAAGTGAAATTTCACTTATTAAAAGAGATAAATATTTGCCTGCTTAGCATTATCACAATTAAACACCATGTCTAATGTAGCATGCATTTGTCTCACCTGTGTTTCCCATGTAAATACCCCCTTGCTGAAAGGATAAGCCTAAAATGTCTTATGCCTAAATCATTTCACTTTTAATCTATAAGTGTGAATTCAATTTTCAAGACCTTACCTCTTTTAAGAAAATCTGCCAAACGTGTATTAACTGTAAAATGCTGGCTGTACATACCGACTTCTTGAGTTTGCTAATACACATCTCCAGTTTTACTCCTATTGCTCAAAGCTCGCCCGAGCAGAAGACTTAAAACGACTGGTAAGGGTTCAGACCTCTTTGACCAGCAATGGAACTGGAATACTAGGAGCCTTACAGGAGACTTGCAAGGTGAAATTAAGTTCAGAAGTTACATAGAATCATTAATCTCACTGTTGATGCTTCTTATTCCATCATTTACACCAGCCTGTGATTGCAGGCCTGGTAGACATTCACATCCTATTATGTGTAGGAGACTTCAAGGAAAGGAAAAAAAGGTAAAAGACAGCAAAACATAGCTGTACTCTAATCAACTGGCTGATATCAGCGAAGATTTCCTCACTTAAATATCCTAATTCCCTTTTATTAATGCATAAGCTTATTCCTCTGGTTTACTCAAAGGAAATACTACTTCGTCAAGCATACATATAGTTTCCACTTTTTTACAAGTTATTCAAGCACCTCTCCCTGTGACTCACTAATATACCTGCAGCATATTGGTCAGAAAACAAGGAATCCATTGAGAAGCTTGAAAGTTGGAAAAAAAAAATGCTTAAATGTCAATACCATATTTCATTTGATAAGCTTGTATAGACTTCATGCGTCACCTGCTCTGGAGACCACGCAGAAAAGGAATAAATACAATATATCACCTTGACCATTTTGCCTATTCCTTTTCCCAGACGACCATGAATGCTTCAAACAAGAGAGACTGCTCTTATTTGCACAGGACAAAACATGCTACATTAGGTTGGACTTTCAAGAAGACTTATACGTATGGAAAATTCACCATCACCAAGTACAACTCAGATCAAGCAGTACAAATGGAAAACATCCTAACCCAGTTGCTAAGTGGAAAACTAATTTGTCATAAAAACAAAGTTTTTGTCAATTATTACATTCATACTCAGGGAAGAGAGGGTTGTCAACATATGTTCATCTTCATTTGCTTACTAATAATTATTTCCATATGCATTCAAATTCCTGGTCATTAACACAGCATTTTGTTGATTCTTCCTTCCCAAACACACACATGCCTAATGCGCACATACACACAGAGCTTCACTGCTACCAAACCAGGGACAAAGCCAAAAGAGACTGGTAGCTCTATATTTTCTATATATGCATATATGAAGCAGAGCAAGTCATGAAAAAGCAGAGTAACTTAGTAAGGTACCCCCAAAATATCAACAACAAAAAATGACCATTACACATGCAAAGAGCGAAGACAACATCTTCTGTAAGGACAACATACTTCAGAGCACTGAAACAGACCTCTCAATCTAGACATCATAGGAAATCCCTAGAAGCCAAAACCGGCTGACTTCCCACCAAAACACATGCTTTCCACCAGAATTCCAAATTTTCTCCAGAGACTTCTGCCAGAATATAATTTTATCACTGTTTGCTGGGAAACCATACTAACGCATATTCAGAAATTTAGGACAGTGTTCACAAGAAAAACCTCCCTTTTGTCCTGAGTTATAATGACCCTTTTTGTAGTATTTCCAACACGATCAGATGAAACAAAATACAGTATAGTTCATCTTGTGACTGATGTAATGTGGGCAGGGAACAATACCGTGGAAATGAAAAAGTCAAGGATCTTTGTCTCTTTCTAGACGGATTGCCAAGTCTTAATAGTTGGAGGGAAAAATAGCTTAGCATCCCAAACAAAACACTGCAGTGCATGTTCATTATTTCAATAAAGTCATTGCAGCTTTTGGCAACCCCATAGGAAACTTAGACCCTTCAAAGAAAGCCCAAGCTAAAAAGCTCGAAAACCACCCTAGTTTAAAAATCAATAAAGTCATTGCAGCTTTTGGCAACCCCATAGGAAACTTAGACCCTTCAAAGAAAGCCCAAGCTAAAAAGCTCGAAAACCACCCTAGTTTAAAAATCACAGAAGAAACAAATAATTCACTGGCTCTGGAAAGAAACCCCAAGGAGTTCACCGCTCGCATTACAACCAATGCTAAAAAGATAACCGCGACAATAACTAGCCATAAACCTGTAAAATGCTGTATTTTCTCGTCACCGCCACCGGTACTTGGC